CATCCATCCATCCATCCATCCATCCATCCATCCATCCATCCATCCATCCATCCATCCATCCATCCATCCATTTACTGTCCATTCATCCACCTACTGTCCATTCATCCATCTACTATCAGCCTTGGCCCATTTATCATCCATCCATTCACCATCCACCATCTGTCTATCCACCCACTCATCTATCCATCCATCCACCATCCACCCAACCATCCATCTATTATCCATGCATTCGTCTACTACCCATCCATTTAAAATCATCCATCCATCATTCACTATCCATCCATTCACCACCCATCCATCATCATCCATCATTCACCATCCCTCCATCATCCATCCATCTGCTATCCATTCATCCATCCACCATCATCCATCATCTATCCATTCATCATCTACCATGCATCCATCCACACGTCCATTTATCTAGCCATTGAACAAACCCTCTAATCCTCTATCTTTGATGGAGTCCCAAACCTTGAGATGGGCTGGATGCAGGTGTACCCTCAGGGAGCCCTCATTCTGCTGGTGGAGTTGGACGTGTAGCCAAAGTATGTCCTAACGTCCCAGCTGCGCCCTGAGTCTTCAGGGACTGGGCGAATGTGGTCAGTTCTGTGGCCCATGGGATTGGGAAAGGCCCTAAAGTGCTAGCGTCCTCAAGTTGAGTGATGGAAGAGGGGGAGTTTCCTGGGTGTCCTGAAGAGGGGTCAGGACAGGTCTCATGAACTTAGTGGGGTGGGCAGCTGTGTGGGGTGGCTTTGTGAGGCCATTGTGTTGGGCCTTACAGATCCAGCTGAGGGCTGTGCTTAAGCCCTGCTCCAGGCCAGGTGTCCCCAGCCTGGGAAAGCCTGTTTGCGTACAGATGCCAGCCCCAGCCCACAGTGCCAAGCCTAGGTCTTGGTGGTGGTGGGAGGGGCGTGGGCAGAGTGTGCTTGAGTTCGTGACCAGTGCCAGGCAAGCTTGGGAACTGGTGCTGGGTAGGACTGGGGGAGCAGGCAGAGCAGGGGGACGCGGTCAGGTGCGCATCAGTTAGGGAGCTGTGCTCCTGTGCCGACACTGTCCGCCGAGGAAGAGTGTAAAGAGGAAGGTTGTTAGGGGCTTCCTGATGAGAGGGTCTGCTGTGGAAGGGCGGAGGCAGACGTTCAAACTGGCCGTCCTGCCTGGATGTTGTGCTGAGGGTGGCCGGCACCCCTGGAAGCTCCCCCGCCTGCTGCCTCTCACTTTCCACCCAGGGACATGAGGGGCAGGGGGCTGTGGGAGGAGGTGGACAGAGGCATCTGGACTTTGTCAGTGGGCTTGGGAAAGTTTCTGTCTCTTTGCGAGGAGCCCCCAGGATGGCGCTGGATGGGCCCGGATGGGAAAGGGGCACAGAGACAAGGCCAGAGAGGGGTGCACAGGCCCCTGCTCTGGGTGGAAGGCAAGGAAGGGGGCAGCATCCCCCATGCCGCAGCCCCAGGCAGCAGGTGGTGGAAGAAGCCCTTGGTTCTCCAACTAGCCCTGAGTCTGTCCTTCTCTTGTCCATGGTGGGGTGGGGCTCAGCCCCCATCAGCACCCCTGCTGGAGCGAGACTCGGGGACTTATGGAGAGGAGGATGGGGTGGGGCAGTGTGTGGAGGGCACACAGCAGGCAGAGGCTGTGTGGAGTCCAGGAAGCTTCCGAAGCTCAAGCGCCTCTGTGTGACAGCATGCATTAGGGTCCCAGGATCTTAGGGAGAACATCTGGAAAAATTACACTCTCAGGATGGGACACCCCAGGGACAGGGCACTTGCTTCCCAAGGCAGGCCCTCCTCTTCCACGCAGGCATGTTGCCTCTCCTCCCTGCCCACTCCTCACCCCATGCTGACTCAGATACCAGTAGGGTCCCCTGCCGTAGGGCCTGAGGCATGTCCGCTCTGCCTCCTCACTGGTCAGCTGTCCCTGAAACCAGGCATGTTCTGAGGTGGCGGTGGGTGCAGGACCCTGGGAGTGCAGGACCCTGTGCTCAGGGTGGGCCGGCTGGCAGAGTTGATTCCCAAATCCCCACCCCAGGCCACCTTCCAGCTCCTTGTGGCTCCCACCCAGGCAGACCCTGGGTGAGCCCTGCCCAGGTGGACCCCAGAGTGGCCCCGCCCAGGTGGACCCCAGGGTGGCCCCGCCCAGGTGGACCCCAGGGTGGCTCTGCCCAGGTGGACCCTAGGGTGGCCCCGCCCAGGTGGACCCCAGGGTGGCCCTGCCCAGGAGCACCCCGGATGGCCAGCCCAGCCCCTTCTGACCCTGTCACACAGGGGCAGCCCTGCCCAGAAGCACCCACAGGTGGCCCTGCCCAGGAGGACCCCCTGCTGGCCCTGCCCAGAAGCACTCCCAGGTGGCCCTGCCCAGGA